CTGAACGTACAGTGTTGCGCAATAAATTGAACTTTCTTTCTAACCTCAGTGTGGACGTATTACTACTCAATGACTTAAATTTTGATGATAATTTTATGCGCAGTATTCTGACGGAAGTTATTATCTACATAGATGAAACAAAACGTTTCGATTAAATAAATAAATAACCAGCAGCGCATCGTTTAAAAAGTTTTTCTTCCTCCACTCTCCATCATCACTCATAACCGTTGATAACTGAATCTACATTAACAAATGCTATAGCTGCTGTAAAATATAATTTTTTTGCCTGTGCATTTTCTTTTTTTTCGCTCGTCTAGTTTTTTCCTTTTTTCTTTTTTACTATTAAGTTTTTCCTTCTATTTCAATGTACATTGAAGGTCGATAATGGGGTTCGCCCCGCTGACCTTGTTCGGTTGAGAATGAATAAAGACATAAAACAAAACAACATAGTAATAATTGTCATCATGAAGCTGATTATGCCTAAGACAAAGATGGGCAAGTCGAAGTCCGGACGGGGACTGTAGGCATATGAGACTCGGACTGAAGTTGGACTGGCATTTTTCACATTTGTGACTGAAATTTTCACTTTACATTCGAAAAAAGATGAATAGTAAAAAGAAATCGAATTCATTCTTTTATCTTTCTTATGTTACCGCACGGTTGATTAAGATCAAAAGACGGCTGTTTTTATCCGCTGCTTGATTTGTTTCTTTCTTACACTAAATGCGTGTCTGTTCTCTTTGCACTTCTAATTTTCTGAAAGTTACGTTAAAACATAATGGCTCCTGTAAGGACAGAGTTGGACAAGTTGAAGTTCGGACTGATAGGCTTTTTCATGCGGTCTGGCATTGGGCTGGGACTGAAAAACAGCGGACTGGCCCATCTCTGTGTGATTCTAAATCATCAGTTTTTTTACGAAGTGTGCCCTCTTCTTCTACATCTCGTCACGAGACAAAATTTTTGTAGAACCTAAATCGAAGAAATCAGTCACTAAAAACAGACATGGAAAAACCCGAAGCTCACTTTGAACGTATTGTTAGTTTATGAATCGACATATTTGTCTGAGTAATTCTTCAAATTTTTCCTCTAGCGAATTTTGATTATCTGTAGTAGGATCATGATGAAATCTAATATAAATATATTGACTGAGTATGATACCTAAACGTTGTGGTGGCCATGTAATATTTTCCATTAGTAATGGTATAACAGATTTTTTCAAAGTGATAGCGTAATTTAGTTCTCGACAACAGTTATCAGAAAGTGGATATTTTTCATTTAAACAACAAATAAATACTTTTGTTTGTCTAATACCCGCATCGATTTCGTCGAATAATTTGTCGCCACCACCCATCTGACCATTATCCATCCAACATTCAAAACCTTCTCTTTCAAGATCAGCTTTCAGACGTTTGACTTTTCCTTTAGACGCCCACTGATAACTTAAAAATATTACTGGGGATTCTCTTTTATTAAGTTCTAACTTTTGCAGATGTCTGGCCAAGTTTACATCGCTGGAATAATGAGTACGAGTAGGCATAGAATATGAACTAGTGGCGATTGTGTTATTCGTTTGTTGGCTACCATTGGAAAGTGCGCATGTTGAGTTAGATGTTGTGATATTTGCATTTCTTTTATTCGAATGATCTCGGTTATAACGAATGTGAGAAACGTTTGACAGTCCGGTACTGGTGTCAAATTCTTCTGCGGTGAGGGTATGTCGAATTGATGATTGTCCGTAGCTGACATCATTATTTCGTCTAACTCTTATATCAGTCGTTGGTTGAAGGTCAAGATTGTCTAGAATATCATCCTCATTTAATATAGCATTAGCATATGTTAAATCAAACGAATGATCAATACCAAATTGATATTGTACAATTTGTTTAAAATGTTCAACGGTAACATATCGATGTTCAGCAGCGATACGACGAACTTTACCATTATATTCGACACCAATAACGAATCGATTTGAATTAGGCATTTTATTTATTCTATTTGACCGTCGAAGTGCTCTTAAAAGTGGTATCAAAATCACTTTGAAACGAAACTTTGACTAACAGAAATATTCATTTTGCAGATTAGACACATCAGATTCTGTGAATTGATATTTTGAAATAGTTTTTCTTTATGGATTTTGTGTATTCTCAAATACTATTGACTACAGAAACACAATGATCTCACTTTTATTTACATTTTATTTTTGAGTGACATAGCACTTTTTTTATACTTGACGATATTTCTTTTTTTTCCTTCGTAGGTGCAATATACATAATAATTAAAAATCTTGAACACCTTACTCTATATGATGTATTTTAGTGCATTTTTCTGTAAGAGAAAAATACATACTTGTAAAAAGGCTTTTGTTCGGGGAAGAACCATTTATGTGTGTCATCAATAAAGAAAAAAAAACATTAATTTTTATCGCTTTCATTCGCCAATATTTTAAATGTACTGAAGATTCTTCTATCATTGAAGTTATTTATTCTTGAGGTAAGGCACGTGCTTAAGCCCCCCGATACAAGCGTTCTCGAGTTATAGGGTTATTAGGAGCCAATGGTGTTGCAAAGATTTCATCCCAAGTTTTCTATAGTTTATCAGGGAGAGAAGAGTGAGAAGTTATGATACATTATAGTGTATGAGACAAGAGAATTATTGGTCAAGTTTCTCGTTATATTTCTTGTAAGATTTCTGTCAGTAAGGGGAAACCTCTTGTATCCTGATCGGGATATATCCCGATCAAGATATAGAAGAAAATTAATACCCCGATTGGGATATAAAACACAATTTTTCGTCGTAAAAACGATTTAGGGAAAAATGACGTCATCATTAGAAAGAGCTCGAAAAAATACATCGAATTCTGTTGTGTTTGACCAGAAGTGTATCAGACGCTCAGCAACCATTTTCAACAAATTTTAGTCGAATTTATATCCTGATCGGGAAATAGGCGATTGATCTTTTACTGCGCATAATGGGTTATACTCTTGATCTAATCGCTTTCCACATCGATCATTTTTTATTTCTTCCTTTTCGATGCACACATATATTGAAACATAATTCTTTTCTCAAGCGTCGACAATATATAAATATACGTGCTTTGTGTTTAACGGGGAATTTTCCAACTATTCATTGCAGATAAACTGCCTTATGTTTTTTACAAATGAATCACAACTTGCTGTATCTTTTAAAACGTATATCTGTCGTAAAGCCAGCATTTCTGAAGATGCCAAGAGAACATCATCATTCCAAGCGTTGCGGCATTTATATTCATATTGCCCGGTCAGGGAGGACCCCTTTCAAACTAATTAGATTTGACGAGAAACATGTTAATGTGGTAGTAAGAAATTATCTTAACCAACAACAAATTCTTAACCGTAATTGTTCGTTTTTATGTTACCTGTGTATAAATCAAATAGACATAATCAATGAAATATCATCATCATCACCCCAAAACATACAAATTTTTGATATTCCGATCGGGATATGTCTCCACACTGTCTGTCTTTTGTCACTTCAGCTAAGAATCTTGTTAAATAGTTTATTAGATATATATACCTTTATCTACAAACTGATTTTTGACCGAAATCACAAGACAGAAATTTCGGCCAGGAATCTTGTCTTGTAATTCTTAAAAGAATCTTGCAAACAAAAAGTGCCTATATAATCGATATTGCGTTTTCTTTTCTTTTCATATATGTAGGAACTACCCACTCTGACGCCAATAAGGACGTATATAAAGACTCGATTGTCTCTCTACAGAAATCCTGAGAGATTTAAAAGAATTCGTACAGACATCTGTGTATAGTACTGAGTTATATTATATTCTCTCCACCGGAGCGGAGAGTCTTGCAACCTTTAAATGCGTGTCAGTGTGTATGTGTGTGTCCAAACACTTGGTCATCTTTTCTTTTTATATTATCCAATAGATATGCAAAGTGATACATGGCGCTGCGTGACGGACGTACATACATATACTCATGTGTTAGTGTGACGGACGTACATACAGATAATATTCGAATACTGTGTGACGAACGTATGTACACATAGTCATGTGGTAGCGTGACAGACGTACCTACACATAGTCATGTGGCAGTGTGGATAGGATGCAAGCGAGCACCGACCCAAGGGAGGTGTGAGCTTTCTCTGTGATTCAAAGCCATCGATGGTGGTGTCGAGATCCAGATTGGACAACGATTAAGATGTGACTCGAGCAATTTGTGCTGTAAAAAATGCGATGACGAATATGTAGGACAAACTAGCATCCCGGTGAAAGAAAGATTCTATCGCCACACATCACAGATACGTATCATTCGCACCACCTCAATAGGTAAACACTTTAGTGAGAACGGCCACTCAGTTAGAGACGTTTTCATTGTCCCATTTGAGGGAGGATACTTAAACGACGACCATCGTACGGCAAGAGAATCTATGTGGATCAGTAAACTCAATTCTATAACATTAAAGACTAGAACTGGGTATTTTTACGGGTTCAATTTTTAACCTTTTTTTAAAAACAGAATTTTTTAAAAAGGAATTTTTTAAGTTTAAAGCTTAACTAATAGATAGTCTCCCGATTGAAACCGTTCCTATAGGGCACATTGCCATTATACTTACACTTTTTTCTTATAGAATGCTAAACTGTTCTTATGATGGGTTTCACCTGATTCTCCAAGATTAGGGATACGTATCCGTTGAATAGCACGTGTATATATACGCACCAGTTTCAATATAGACATAGACATTTGAACGGTGTGTAACGGACGTACATACACATAGTCATGTGGCAGTGTAGATAGGACGCAAGCGAGCGCCGACCAAAGGGAGGTGTGAGCTTTCTCTGTGAGTCAAAACCATCGATGGTCGTTCACACTCTGTTACACACATACAATTACACTGTGTATGAGGGACATACAAACACACAGATACTTAAATAATGGGCGGGCCAGTTATTAGCGTGACAAGCATATAAACATAGGGACAAGACATTTTGCATATTCCCTAGCAAGCCCTAACCGAAGAGAGGTGTGAGGGTTCGCCGTGATTCAATGTCAGCGAAGATCCATCGATGTTACTACGACGGACATACCTACGCACAGATCCTATTGTGAAGGACGAAGATGCACATATTCCACAACTTGTTGTGGATAGGTTCCAAGCGAACGCTCGATCGTGAACGTTATCCCTGATTCAAAGTCATTGAAGGTCATTCGATATTACTGAGACGGACGAACATAGACACAGATACTAGTGTGACGGACGTACCTGCACATATTCCAGAACATACTGTGGACAGTCCGCTAGCGAACGCCGACCGGAGGAGCTGTGAGCGTGAGATATAAGTTGATAAGGTCAAGTTACCGAGCGAGTGCAGACGATCGGTTGCGTTGTGTATATATGCAGCGAGCGACCAGCACTGTGGAAAACTGTCACGTTGTAAACGTTGTTACTTGCGACAGATATTAGGACGAAAACTAGTCCAGTAGCTGACCGTCCCCATTGTGTGGGGGACCCACATACCGACTTATTGTGGATAGTCGTACATACACATACTCAGCAACATATTCTGGATAGGCGGCTAGCGAACGCCGACCGAAGGGAGGGTTGAGCGTTCCGCTGGATTCAAACTGATCGAAGGCCGTCCGCACATATAAGTTCGTCAAGTCAGAGGTGCTACCTTGTGTCTATGTGCAGGGAGTGATCAATAGTGTGAAAAACTGTCGCGTTGCAAACGAGCATTACCTGCGACCGATACCACAACGAAAACCAGACTGCTAGCTGAACGGCATCGAGCCTTCGGTGGAGAGTCAGCGAGCTAGCGAGCGGTACTTGTATTTATATATAGCACGGGAAACAAATTGATGATTTTATCGTTAACGAGTCTTGCCATTTCAGACAAGAATCTTTTACAAAAAAAGATGAATAATCAATAAAAAATTAAAAAAGAATCTTGTTTGACCTATCAGCACAAGTTTAACGATTATTGTCTGAAATGGCACGAGACAAGAATCTTGCAAGAAATAGGACAAGAAAGTCGACCAGTGATATATAATGTAATAGAATGTATGGTGCGATAGACGATAACAAAAGAAAAGAATGATGTGACTCACATAAGATTATGAATGCTGGAGATTGATACCATAGTCTTACACAAGATCAGGTATCCTATGGAATATCTCTCTCCTACAAAATATAGAGCACCGCTCAAAAGGACAAAAGAAACGAAAAGGAAACAAGAGCTAGATAATTTTGCGAAGTTCAGTCTGTCTGTGTTGATTGCTGTTACTGGAATCAACATTTTTCGTTAGGTATGATGTTCGTCTCCGTGAGCTGTTAGTACCACTTCAGAATAACAAACATGGTTTGAAAGCAAAATAAATTCAATATCATTTTGTTGGTATTGATGAGCTGCCCATCAGCATGTGTAAAATACCGGGTAAAATAAATAATAACAATAGGATAATCAATTATCAACGTAATTTCAACGTTCAAGAACTCGAGCTAAACTACTAACGAGAACTTTTTATTGGTGGTTGATAATTGTATTCGCTGATTTTGATGATAAGATGATAGTCATTGCTGCTGGTGATATTGTGATGACAGTTGTGGCTGAATATCCTTAATTGCATTGGAGGTCCGTACATTAATTGATTGTTGATCCGCTTCTAAACATTGTGCATATTGTAATAAGTCTATTGGCTAACTAACGTACTTGACCTGCCAGTTTGTCTAGTAACTTAACTTTCATGCCACTTTTTAATCGTTCAATTTGTTCGTTATCAGTCATTTGTAAATAGCATTGTGTACATAATTTCATCAATGCATAATAATAAACAAGAAACATTTCATTAATACCCTGTGTACCTAATCGTAATTGTTGAAATATCAGCGATTTTATATCTTCTGAAGGTATTGTAAAATTATTTCGTAATTCAAATCATTCCATGTGTTGGGTCGTAGTTGTTGTGATAAATACCATTTGAGTGCTTCTCCAGCTAAATATTGTGGTGCCCCTTTAGGTTCTTGTTGAGGATCATGTAATTCCAGATCACTAACGCTTAAATTCACAACACGTATCCAGTCGTTAACACTCGCATGGATATCGTCAGCGAATTTTGGTGTATCTCTGATTATGATCTTTTTAAACACTTCTTGTGGAACAGCCATGTATGTTAGTATCTGATGTCGACGGTGTTAGGTTCCCGGGTAAACTAAGGTCTTTCTTACCTAACTTTTATTTACAAATATAAAAAAGATATCTTTAACAATAAAACTGATGTATTTATATACGAAATATTGCGCGATAGTCTTGAGTAGACTGCGTAATAACCTTGGCTAGGGTCTACGCAGTAACCTTGAGTATATTCTTGCGTAATTACTTAGACTATGCTTGCGCAATAACCTTAACTGTGATCGTCTCCCTTATGGCGCGACTGTAATACGTGGCATAACAGACGGAGATACTGGCTGTTGCTATTATTGTACTTGTTGCTCGACTATCGTTGGTGCTCTAAAAATTGTGGGATCATTATTTTTGTAAAAAACAAGAATATATTTAGTTTTATTAAAAGTAGTGTGTACATGTGACTGTTATTGTTATTTACTGTCTTTGTTATTTTTATAACGTACGCCTGAAGTTTTGATATTTTTAAAGTGGGGATATTTTGAAAAGCACGATAACGGTAGATAATTAAAAACAAACTTTTGTTTAGCTTTTGTTATTATTTCTTTTCAGTATTATAATTAAAATACATCTAAGTTGTAATGTGTGCAGCGGCTTTCGCAGTTGTATATGGATCGGATCACCCACACCGTGTAGGAGTCAGAGATATGTACGTAACAGTAAAAACATTAAAGAAAGAAGTAGCAAAGCATTTTAATATCAATCATCCATTTGAATTAAAATACGATGGACAAGTGCTTAACACTGATGATCAGTTATGTGGACTAGAGCTGGATCGATCGCACACTATTATTGTTACTCCTCCGCCACCTAGAAAGAACAATTACGCGACGAGAAGTCATACACGGAATTCTATCAATCCATTTTCTTGCAATACGCCAAGAACTAAACGTAAGGAACCACCAGTTCATGAAATAATCTATGATGAGATTATAAAACAAGAAGAAAGAAGGAAAATATTACAGCAGTATAGTGATAGCGACGAAGATGTTTATGAAGAGAAAAAAGTAAAAAATTATGAAAATGACTTTGAGGCTTCAGATGTTTCGAGTGATTATGACAATGAAAATGAAAAACAATATAAAACTGATAAGATAGTAACACAGATAAAACTTTCCAAAGTTAACGATAATACCAATAAACAACAAAAGCAAACTCTTTCTGGTAATAGAAAATGTCTTCCTTTATCGGCAGTAGATGGTCATAAAATATCACTGTCACATCAAAGACATAATAATGTTCCATTATCGAATGTTTATGGCAACGTAGAGACGTCATCGAGCGCTGTTAATCGTCGTTCAGTGAGAAATACTACTAATGGAATTGAGGATGATTATTCGCAACCATCATTCCCATTGCCGCTACCATCACATTGTCCATCTGATGCTGATAGTCGTCAGTTATCAAATCCTGTTGATAATCAATATTATATATTACCCACAAAGAACATTATAGAAATAACTGACGATCATTCACCTAACATATCGGATGAAAATCGATTTCCAACAAGTAGACGGCGTCGGAGTTTATCAGCAAATCCAAGTCGATCGGAGGCTCGTGAAATATCAGATTATGATAATGATAATAATGACAATAATAGCAGAAATACTAATGCCAACACTGATACACTGAATAATCAAGATATAGTAATATTAAATATCCGAACATTAAATAGTTCATATGAAATTAAAATATCAAAAACGTCTACTATACAAAAATTATTTCAAATAATGTGGAAAGAAATGAAAAAAACAAAAGATCAAATCTATACTGAATCAACGCATTCATTATTAGTATTTAATCATCGCATGCATATATTTACTAATTCTATTATTGACTGTACGATAGATGATCTGTTAAAACTGCAGCCATCATCTAGAGGAGAAGAAAATGCAAACGATCAACATCAAACAAATTTTTATTTGTATGCATTAACAAAAGAACAAGTTGATACAATGTATACATATGAAACCAATTTGAGAAATATTTTTTGTAATATGGATAATTGGTGGAAATCAGTATCATTTTTAAACGAAAGAAAACAGAGTGATTTTTTACAAAATGATATTTCACAAAGTATATTTTTAAGTAGTTTATTTTGTTTACGTACATATTTATTTACAAATGATAATAATGGTAAAGAAGGTATTATACAGACAACACAAGCGCAATTCTTTAAAATATTAAGAAAATATTTATTTCCACCAGCTGTTTTAGCATTAAAACATGCATTTGATGGTCAATTATTTAATTTTGAAAAGGCACTTATTACTGATTCATTTATAAAATTATTAACATTGGTTTGTCCAAAAAATGTTGTTGACAATGAATTATGTTCATATATACCATTAGTATTTTGTTGGATACTGGAACAAAAAAACTTAAAAGATTCAAAAGCTGATTATTATACTGATGTTGAATTAGTTAAATATTGTGATAATGGTCAAACATTACTTATTAATAATCCTGTTACATGTTCACCGATTGATCAGAATCCTTTAGAATTATTAGATATTGATGATATACGAAATAAGAAATCATTTATTAAACATCATGTTGATATTCGTACTCTAATGCAATATATAAAAAAGCCAAAATATTTTACTGATAAAAAACAATGTCAAATTAATGGTTATAGAATATATAATCCATCCGAAATAATAAATGATACTGACAATTTTATTGATCGATTTACAAGTGAAAAATTAAGAGAAATGTATCGTACAATGCAAGTAAAATATCGAATATTAACATTTATTACAAAAAATTCAATATCATTAGATGTTAGAAATCAACTTGTACTATTGCAAAATAAAACTGTTTGTTTATTATTTGAGTACACCAAAGGAAAAAAAAATGTAGCCAATTCTTCGAGTAATACTGTCAATCATTATTTTCGTTTTTATAATACAAATGAGCCAGAGGAAAGAATAATCAATTCTAAAGACATATTTGATGATAATAATGAAAATTTACCTCCTATTATTAATAATTTGATATATGATAAAGAAAATAATCCTCGACTATATCATAATCGACCGATTGAACAGATAACTATGGTATTATTAGATGTTAGTAAATCTATGTTTAGAAAACATAATGCAAATGATCAACATTCACAAACAACAATGGATAAAAGTCGAATAATGTTAGGGAATTTAACAGATAATTTAGTAATAGGTGATTATCCACATGTCATTGGATTAATAACATTTGGTAATAATATTGAAATTATATGTGATTTAACGCCCGATACAGCAAAATTTGAACATTCAATTAATAATGCTATTAAAGTTGAAGAAGAGTGGACACGCTTGTACGATGCAATTGATAAAGCGATTGATTTAATGGTATCATTCATACAAACAAAATCTTCGAAAAAAGTCATTTTAACACAAGCTTGTAAAAAATTAATTATTTGTATATCTGATGGTGTTAACAATAGAGGTAAAACAACTATACATGATTTACAGAGACGTACTACGCAAAATAATATTGTTGTGGATTTAATATCATTTTTACCAGAAAAAAATCTTGATAACAATAGCAAAAAAATTCTTAAAGATACAGAAAAATTATGTGAAAATACATGTGGTTATGTTTATAAAAATTTACCATCATCAACATCAGTTGAAATCGAAACAACATTTGAACAACAAGCAGCTGTATGGATAGATGACCGTTCAACGACTAAACATGGTGCTACGATGAAACCTGAATGCAAAATGCCAGAAAATTTAAATATATATGCATATAAAATGCCTAAACGTGACACATTTCAAAGTGGCATTATTACAACGAACCATTTCAAAAAAATTTATAAGGAAGCCAACAATGTTTATAATTCAAAACTCGATAATATTGATCTGTATATTTGTCAAAAAAATATTTCATTTTGGAAAGTAATCGTAACCGGACCATATGCCACAGAATATCGTGGAGGGTATTGGATGATGTATGTTGAATTTTCAGATGATTATCCTCAAGTACCACCCGTTGTACGCTTTCTTACACCAATATTCCATTGTAATATTCGTGGTGATGGAAAAATCTGTCATGAAATGTTTAACACGGATGGATGGGCACCAACAATGACAATGGTACAAGTATTTGAAGAAATATTATCATTACTTGAATCGCCAGTTCCAACAACTGCTATAGCAATTGAAAAAGCTACATTGTATAATGCTGATAAACAACATAAACAATATGAAGATGAGGTTAAAAGGTGGACATTACAGTACGCAGCGAAATCAAAAGAACAATTGAAAAAAGCATTTAGAATGGAAGACAAAGAATAGAATACTTTGGGGTAAAAAGAGATAGTGTCTGACTTTTTCATCGTATTTTTGCCATTTCTCAGCAGTTTTTGATCGGAAAAACATGCTATTGAACATGATGATAGAATCAACATTTTCTTACGCCGAGTTTTAATATACGATTCCTTGTTAATTAAGTCTAAGCGATAATAGCAGAAAAATACTTCAGTGGTCACGATGAAAGTTCAAATGACTTTAGATCTGTATGTACCAAGGAAATACTGGGCAATGTCATTCGGTCAGTGCTCTTCGACAGTAGAAAGGGAGATGGAAATACTCAAGATAACTTGAAGAAGAAAGTCTATTTTATCAGATTGTCGTTCGAAAGAAATTTTGTGCCTTAAATTCACCTGGTTTTTTCTGAGAAACCATGTAGGTTCCCAATGTATTTGATGGATATGTTAGTCATATTCCATCTCTTTTTTCTCCAAACTTTTCTAGTTGATAAAAGAAATTTCGACAAATCTTATAAGCTCCATGCTTTCTTCACCTTTCGATGGCTCTGAGAGCTTCGACAATTATATTGCGAATTTTTGGCATTTAAAAAGTGAAGGAAAATCTTAGACGTAGTATACTAATTATTTCTTATCAGTTTTCTGCGATTTTCACATATGTGATAGAGTTCAGCATTCTACACAACTTCGTCATTTGGTATAATACCTAAATCGACTTCTGAGAGACGGCAGAGGTTTGTCTGTGAAAACCCTATGTATAAGTATCTCTTCTTCGCCCAATGCATAAAAATGGAAAACCAAACGTTCGCGCACAGTTTATTATATTTTAATTAACTTAGTGAGTTTAAATAATAATGAGCTTACATAGAGAGAGGAAGATCCATGCTACAAAATGAGGTATTTTTGAACTAATTTACCTCTTAGACTTAACAGCAAGGAATTGTACATTAAAATTCCATGTATTTGAATGAATTATCTCTTCTTACCCCATCTAGGATAAAAAGAGACACTTCAAAGCAGCTGTTTGCAGTTTAAATCTGGTTCAAAAATTACTGGATATTTTTAAAAGATTTTTGCAGCGGCATGTAAAGAAATGTTTGATCTATCTCATGTTCAGTAGCATCAAAAACAGCTGAGAAATAGCAAACATACGACAAAAAAGTCAGACACTGTCTCTTTTCTTTTTTGAACTACGATCGAAACTCTTGCACTTGTTTTTCCAATGTTTATAATGCTTTTCTATAAATTTTAGTCTTCCATTTTTTCTGAGCGTTAAAATAATTTTTCCTATTCTAAACCCTGTTAAGCCTAGTGTAATCACTTTTATTAACAAGAGATATGAGTTATAGGAGACTAAAGCTTTTCTTAAAGAAGTAAAGGTTCAGTTTTTCATATTGAGGTAAACATAGGATGTCTACATCGCGTCGGCTTCTCGCTTCTGGTGTAAAAGTGACCAAAAATCACCATGACTGACTTAATATTCGCTCCGAGTTATCAAGTATCTGTTGAGTTAAATACTTGTATGGTGAGTGTATGTTTGATTGACTCACTGACTTACAGTTTACAGTGTGGCCGACTCACAAACTAACGAGCGAACCTCTCGAGGTGAAAAACGCTTTTTGATCGAAATCTAACCCCCCCCCCCCCCCCCAGAAATAAAAGACAAGACCAATTATATAAGCACAGGGGCATATATATTTTATTAAACAAAAAAACACAACGTGGGGG